CGAGTTCTGTCAGATGCCAAAGGCATTCTCTTGCCACAGTGCCAGGCTGCCTTGTATAATGAGTGTGTGACTGAAGAATGAAAAGGAGTTAATGGAGTGGCCATTCCACTGTTCTTTCCACTACTTCACTTGGTGAATGACTAATAAGCAAGCACTCCCAGATGGTATTTGCATTTAAAAGAGGAGCTCATTAACCCTAATGAATCTCTAATTGGTGGAGAGATTTCTGAGGACTGGGGGTTTCTCCTGTGTCTTCAAGGTGCCTGGCTATCCTTTTCTCCTCTGTAGATTATCAGCTATTCTGGAATCAAAGTTATGTCATAGAATATAGTCACATACTGCTGGTCTGCCTCAAATGCAATTGAATGAATTAACAGGGAGTTGTGAAAAGAATCAACTAAAGAAAATAAGCATGGGTTAGCACTGTGTAAAAGGAATGTTCAAAAGCTAAATAACAAATTTGGCAACGTTGAGGGTCTTCTCAAGAGTCAGGTAACAATAATATATTTCATAATCAATTTCAACTTCAGAAATGTTATATCAGCATTCCTCATATTGTGTTCATAGACCTCTGGAAGATGTTTAATAGGTATCAGGTGAATAAAATGGCTCCCTAGTCAAATACGTTGTGAAAAAAAATTTAAAGTTCCTTTACTGAGGAATTCCTCAGAGCCTTTAACACATTAAAGTACATTGGAAATCAACTGGAAGGGAACACATTCTGCAGGTTTTTCTCATACTTTTGACCACAGAAATATTTTTTCCCTGTGAACCACTTGAAACTAGTGTTTTGTAGACTGCATTCTTAGATATGGAGTTCTAGATAATTCCTCTCTAATTAAAGAAAAGAAAGAAAACAGTTTGCTGTACTCACAACTTTTCCTATGCAGTCAGGCTCCAACCCTGTCCACACCAGCCCATTCTCAGCCCTGTTGGGCTCTAGGGCAGTGCAGTAATAACACCCTTCTTCCCCAGGTAAGATCTGGTCAATTTAGAGGGAGGAAAACACAGATAGAGACCAGTTCTCATCTTTATTGCCTATAAAGCTGGTGTTGAAGAATGTGGCTTCTATCAAGGAGCAAATGTTTTCCTAATCGGAACCCCAGGATTAGATTGAGCTCCATCCAGTTATGGGATATGCTGGGCTGGGACAGGCTTCCTCAAGTGGGAGGAGGTCCCTGTGGAGGGTCAGAGCAGATAGAGCCACGTCTCTCTGTGGTCCTCTCATTCTCAAGAGAAAGGGGAGAGAGAGGGACAGAACCCTGTGCAGCCAAGTACTCCCAAGTTACCAACCCATGGACTGGAGAGTGGGGGGAGGCCTGGGGTGAACGTTAGTAGAGCTTACTCTACACTGAAGGAGGCCTAAGGAGTGAGGGTGCTCCCTCACCGCCCCCCGCAACAAGTCTCCTCTGGGTGACTTAAGCCCTATCTTCACCTAGAGCCCAATCTTTACCATTTCTCCCCTCCCTCCACCCAGTTCACCCACTAGAATGGGATCTTGATGATACTCCAGTGACTGTCCCTTTCTTATCTCCTTATGTAACTCAAATATAATTCAGCTTTTTACCCTAGAAACGGTGGAGTACATATATTTTCTCAAACAGAGAGAGAAAAACTACAGCCTGACACCTGTTTTGCAAATGAAGTTTTATCGGAACACAGCCACACTCATTGGTTTATATATTGTCTGTAGCTGCTCTCGGCTACGATGGCAGAGTTGAGAAGTTGCAACAGGGACAATATGGCCCACAAAGCCTAAAATTTTACTATCTAGCCCTTTACAGAAAAAATTTGCCAAACCCTAATCTAATGTATAAATTTCACTTCAGTCCTTTAAGTTCTGAAAGAGTTTCATTACTATGTATATATAGCCTTTTCATTAACTCCCTCTAAATAAAAACGCTTTAAACCAAGAAAATTGCATGTTGCATGGTTGTAGTATAGGAGGGATTTTGCTTCTTGTAGAATTGTTTCTAGCCTTACAAACTTCTGGAAAAGTATTAAGGGGATTGTGTGTTTGCTTTGAAGGCCCGGAAGGAAGGACAGAGGCTTGCTCTGGTCAGAAGTATTTGGCATCCTCAGTGGAAAGGGAAGAGAACAGATAATCCATGGGGCCTATGGAAGAAAAAAGGAGCAGAGAAATGTCTAGGGGCCCAGAGGGTTGGACCAGCACAAGATTCTGCCTTCAAAGCTCCCTTTCAGAGCCCCAGGCTCTTCAGTTCACACACTGTTCTGCAACTCAGAGACTTGATTCCTCCCATCTCAGCCCCCATCATTAAGACCTTCCACGGAATCCTGGGATGCCAGGAGACCCGGATCTGCTCCCACTGTGACTGCCTTCTACCTGGGAGACCTCGGGCTGGTCACTGACTGCCTCTGCCCCTTAGGGTTCACTTGCCTGTAAACTGGAGGGTTGGGAGGATGGGGAGGATGTCTTATTACACCATAGTGAGAGTCAAATGTGCTGTCATAAAAAAGGTTTTATGGATGTAAAGTACTGTGAAAATGTTGGTTGCTTTTGTTCTTTTTAAACAGCTGACTTTCAAATGAAATTTTAGAATCCAGACTTAACTGGTGTTTGAAAACTAAAGTACCTTATTTCACATTTGTCATATGCATCTTCATTTATTGTTACAGTATCCAACTTTCATGTGTGTTATAAAAAAATGGAGAAAATAACTGAATTTTTACCATTATACAATTGTTTTCAAGTGGGAGGGAAAAAACTTCAAAAACTATATTTCTTTGTGACCTGTTCTTTTCTGTTTGTTGTTTGTGTAGTTTTCATTTTGTGCCTTTGTTTATAGAGAATAATCTTGCAGATGGCATATTTCCTTGTAATCAGTTATTGTCCTGTCTGAGTCATCGCCAGAAATGGCATTTCAGTAAATAGTGATTCCATAGTCGCTTCCAGGCAGATGTGTTGTGTGATGTCAAGAACACTGGCTGATAACCTTTCTGGTTATTCAAACAGTAGAGAGAAATGGAGAGAGTTTTGTATAGATACACATCTTGAAATCAGAAAATGGCAAAGGACACACAGACTTTGTGCCGAATGATTTTAGCCAAATACGGTGTTTGTGTGGCTGTGGGTTGGAGCAATAATCATTTGAAAAGGCAAAGAATGTTTCCTGAGTAAATGACCTTTTGTATTGGGTGATACATATTTTCTTATGAACATATCATGCATGTGAATTATTAAACACACCTTGACCTCGTTGTACAGAGACGTGCATTACCTTGGCCGCTCGTGCTGCCATGTTCTCATGCCTATAACCAAGCAAACTAAACTCCTTGTGCATTGGTTCTGCTACCTGTAAACTGGGGGTTGATTATCTTATCCCTAACTATCAGTGAAGAGGGATTTCTGAAAATAAGGCTCATCCTGATATGCCAATAGTGGTCACTTGAAACAATCACTTAAAAAATCAATCAAAATAGTTTTTGACATCCTTAATGTTGTATTTTAATATATTAAAAATTAGATTGATTTAAGTTTTCATTTAACAAGTATTAATTTTATTATCCTATAGACATAACCCAAAAGTTCCTAGTGCTTTTGTTTAAATATGATTTTTTAGAATCATTAACTGTTTTTAAAATTATGAGTCACTAGTAACATAGTGGTATTTAATAAATTAGCCTTTTAAGTTTCACAAATAAATTTTAGAAGAAAGACACTAACTGTTTGCTGAAATGAAGTTTTTATTACATACCATTTAGTATTATTTTGTCACAGTTTTACAGTCTGGAAACTCTAAAGAGAAGTTCACTAATTTATTCAGCTAGTATTTATGGAACACCTCTTACATGTTGGGGCCCACCCAACAATAATAAGGTTGCACACAGCTGAAAACAAAGCTTATAGGCTGGAATGTGCATTGACGTAGATGGATTTTAAACATTTAAGGGAGTTAGTTTATCTTAAGTAAAATAACTACTATCTTAAGTAAATCAATGACCAATTTAATTCTTGCTTCATGATTTTAGAATTTAACAGAATTTTATTTAGTCCTTTAAAATTTTCATGAGGCTCTTTCTTGAGTGTAGCCATCGGTAAAGTAAACTTTTGCATTTCATATGGAAAAGTTAAGTTTAGCCAAAATTCCTAATCTTTAGTGTCAGCCAAGTTATCACCTACAAATTTTGTAATCTTCACTGTTGTGGACATTCCTGAGCTGGGTTAATTTTATGGGAAGAGCAGTTTACAAATTACTGAATTAGCCTCTCATCATGCTTTAAAGAAGTAGGCTAATTGTTTCTTTACTTACCATGTGTTAATCATAGATCATTAGTGATAATATATTTAAAATAGGCCATTAATAAGTTAAATTATGCTTATACTTACCTAACTATATTTGTGTTTGCCCTGTGTCATTGGAGCCAGCCTAGTCACCAGCTTCATTTAGTTGTATGACCCACCCACGCTCCAGCCTTAGGAATCAAAGTATTAACTGAAGGCTAATTTATGAATTTGTTCATTTTTCTTTCCTGCTGTAAAGATTGTCTGACATTTGGTTAATTATTACATACAAACATATATATCTGCTCTGAGGCAAATCCACAGGGACACAAATAAAAATTTATAAAGAGTAAACCTTATAAAAAACTAATTTGGAAGACAGTTATTCATATTATAAAGACTTTTAATTTGAAAATAATTTGCCTTATTTTCTTTAAGTTGTCAGCTTTCCTAGCTTATTTGAAATATGACTTGATTTACGAAATGTGAATTTGCTTGATTTTTCCAGAGTAAACCTATAGAAAGCAGGAGACATTTCTGGTTTAGGTTGTATGTTTATGTATTTATGGATGATTTATGAGACCTCTGTAAAATTACTGTTCCTAAAAACTCACTTATTTACTTAGTAACAAAGGAAATAATAGTTGCTTTCATAATTTGAAAAATATAATATCCAAAGATATTTCAAATAAATAGAAGACAGTTTGGCCTCAATGATAAAGTTGTTTTGTTTTTGGTTTTTGCTTTTGCTTTATAGAAGATACAGCAAATGAGCAAAGAGTCGCAGCAAGAGGTAAAAGTTCAGAAGGAGAAGGAGAAGGCAGCCAACTTTTGGAGGTAAGTGAAACTCACTGAGTCCTTTGAGGTGAAACTGAACAGCACTATGCATATGTATTTCTCTGAGGATAGACAGTAACTTCTACTCTATTGCCGTGCAGACAGGTGCCTCGATACCAAGAAACAGGTGATCTGCTGAAAGTCAGGGGCTGGCAGTCCCAGGAATGAGTTCCCAAGTGCTAAGCTTTTCCTTGTGCTGGAAGTGGAAACACCCTGTTGAAAGAAGAGGCATAGAGCACTTGAGTTAAAACATTTGAACTATTTTTGAGTGATTATTTTCTAATACATTTGAATAAATAGATAATATATGAACCTATAGAGAAAGGTTTGAAAATAATCTCTTCAGAACTATATTACATTACCATTTCCAGCACCAAAGTGCACTCCTTGATATCATTCAAAAGAGACTAGGGTATTTGTTCTCTTCCATGTGAGAAAACTATTTGCTCCTTGAGGTACTTGAAAATGTCGTTAGGATACTTTTTTATACTATGTAGAAACATACTAACGTTACTCAATCACTGAATAATCATTCTTAAGACTTAGGGTTCATTGTTATGGTAGACGGGCTATCCATGAATTTCGAAACTTTCTACATGGTGACACACCTCTACTTATATTCTGCTTGTAGCCCGTGAGGATATTGCCGCATACAAGTAGAGTGAGGTCAGAACCTGATTCATCACGGTATCCACAAAGCCTAGCAGTGTAGGCAGTCAAAGAGGTTTGTTCAAGAATTGGTGGATACAATCATGAATTATAAGTAGAAAGTAATATTTAAAGAAGAGAGATTTTTATTTTTTATGTTCAGATTTTTGAGCAAATATTTTATACTCAAGAAAAAAATTTACTAAAAGAAGTGACACAGTAAGTAAATTGATGTAGAGGAAAAAACGAGTCATCTTTCTCATAAAACTGTGCGTTCGTTTTTTATTCATGCATGCAACAAATATTTCTTAAGCACTGGCTGTATTCAAGGTACTGTGCAGGAGCTGAGTATATAGTAGGGAAGAAAAGCAGCTACAAGGACAAAGAAATATGTCCAGCCTATACATTGAAGCAGCTTGATCTCTTTCATTTATTCAAACATTTAGTGAGTGCTGACCATAGGTAGCATCTTTGATAGAAAATAAACGTTGATGTATTTAAGGTTTGGGAAAGAACCACCAGGATGGTTTAGAAATCATCCATGATAACTTGAGTTTAATGGCCTCACTATGTCATTCATTGGAAATGTCTATGAAACTCGATTATTCTTCAGAGTTGATTCATTGATAGAAAGAACTCTATGAATCAACTCTGAACAATCATTCTTAAAGAAAGAAGCTTTTGAAAACAGATCCTCTGAGATTTGAAACTAGGTCATTATTATGCTACTTTCTAGTCTCTCCATTATACCATCAATTCTTAATAATTATGACTGGATTTATATACTCCTGCTACAACAGATAAAAGCGGCTTCTGTCTGAATAGTTGCTGGGCACTGGCAAGACAGTGTTTGCTCTTAGAGAGCTTACTGATGTAGCAAAACAGAAACAGGGAGAGTAGGGGCCAGCCCAGTGGTGCAGCGGTTAAGTGTTCACGTTCCGCTGCATCGCGGCCTGAGGTTCGCCGGTTCAGATCCCAGGTGCGAACATGGCACCTCATGACAAGTCATGCTGTGGCAGGCATCCCATATATAAAGTAGAGGAAGATGGGCATGGATGTTAGCTCAGGGCCAGTCTTCCTCAGCAAAAAGAGGGGGATTGGCAGCAGTTAGCTCAGGGCTAATCTTCCTCAAAAAAAAAAAAGAAAAAAAAGAAAGAAACAAGGAGACTACATATGAGGCCACACAGTTAAGTCACAGTACAAGAGGATAATACTAAGATACTTTCAGACCGCAGAATTATTTGCCAAATAATCATTTACCCTGACCTTAAGTGTCTAAAATAAATTTTTTTATTCCTTTCCTTTATGAATGCAAAAACAGAAACATTGCTGCGTGTCCTCCGCCTCCCCTCATCCGTACTCTACCTTGGTCAGTCAAGATGAGTCTTATCCCGTCTCAGGGTTTGAAATTCTGTGAAGAGGCCGGTGACTCCCAAAGAGCATCTGCACCTAGACCTCTCTCCTGAGCTCTAGACTAGATCCAACCGCCTACATGCCATTCCCCTTACAAATTTCTAGACAGTTCAGCCTTTGCTTGACCAAAGAAGAACTATTAATTCCTGGTCCCACCACCCAGAAGCTTCTGTCTGCTCAAGTTTTTACCATCTCTCTTCAAAACCCCTGAGGTACCCCTGGCTCTTCTCTTTCCCTCGCACTCCACATGCAGTCTGTCAGTAAGTCCTGTCACCCCACCTCCGGGAATCTGACCCCTTCTCACCATCAGCACTGTTAGAACCCGAATCTAAGCCACCACTTTCATCAGGACTGTCCGCCTCCATTCTTCCCCCTTCAGTCCATTCTCCACACAGCAGAGAGAAATATAAATCACATCACATCCCTCCTTGACTGCAAATCTGCTGGCCACCCACTGTAGCTAGAATAAACGCTAAGCTCCTTACAGTGGGCTACAAGGAGCCCCATGTGTTCTCCAGTCTCATTTCTCTCCATACCCTCAAACCCCATCCCCATCTTACTGCCGCCTTTCTGTGCCTCGATCATGTTAAGCTCTTCACCATCTCAGCCTTTGCATTTGCTATCCCTTCTTCTCTCTTGGCTGCCTCCTTATCATTCAGGTCTTCATTCAAGTGTCACTTTTCATGACTATCTCAGCTAAAGTATCTCTTCCCCCCCGAGTCACTATCACAAAGCCCTGTTTTATTTCTCCATCAAGTTTATCACTGTCTCAGATTATTCATTTGTTTACTGTCTGCCTCCTCTGACTAGAAGGAAAACAGACTTTCTGTGCCTAGAAAAGTGTCTGGTACAGAGAAGGTGCTCAGTAAATACCTGTTAACTGATCATCTAGATTCCATTTTATGCCATCATCTGTCTGCCAATTTAAAGGCCTAAAAATGTCATTTTTTTGACTCATTTCTCTCACACCCCTTTATCAAATCTGTCATCAAATCCTATTGATTCTACCCCACAAATATCTTCCAAATCTGGTTCCTTATACTCCAACTATGTCCTCTTCTGTTCACGAGACTGTTAGTAGATGAGCAGTCTCCTTCCCAGATCCCTTTCTGAAAAAGAACAGCAGGTTTTGTTATTGCAGGCCCCCCAAAATGCCTTGAAACCTGCATAATAAAGCTTAAAACGGAAATCTTGTTCAAATGTCACCTGCTGTGTGAACACTTTTCCCAGCTCTCCCAGCCAGAGAGAACGCCAGTGTCCTCTTACTACTTGTGTTGTCGTATGACTTCAGTATAGTGTGAGTTCCTTAATTAGCTTTGTAGCCTCAGCCACTAACATAATGTGACACATGCGGAGTGATATTGATGCCTTGTCACTGGTTCCTGGATGGATAAATGAATAAATAAGTGGTCTTCTGCAAATGCTGTCTTATGAGTAAATCTCTTCATTAAATCTGTTTTCCACCTTACATTATAAACACAGTTATTTTTTTCTCACTGTGAAAAAAAAAGTTTTTCTTATATTTTTTATGAGTTACCCATTCAAAAATTTGTTAATTTACATTATTTTTGGCACTCTTACTACATTAGCAAGGAAAAATGTAATGTTTTCAGTTAGTTGTTTAAAAGATATACATCTGATTAAGAAGCTGTAACTATTGTACCTAGCAGGAAAGATTCTCAATATTTTAATTTTTAATGACTATACAAGAAATGTTGAAATATTATTTATTATGAGAACATATTTGGGAAATTAGTATGGGTTCAATAAGCTTAAAAATAACACTCTTAGTTGCCAAAATATAACTCACTTTTCTAAGGACCCTGTGGAGAAAGTGGTTAGCATACCAAAATAGGGTTTTTGGCAACTTCAGACAAACATATAGATTGCTTACTATTTTCAAGGAATTGTTGGACATAGGCTGGAGAGGATATAAAGATATGTAAGACTCCGTGATTATAGAAGCAGAAATTCTCAATCTATTCTTGGAAAAATAGAAAACATCACAAGTCTCTAAAATATAAAGTGGAATAAATAAGTTCCTTAAACCCGGTAACTACAAAGGTAACAGATTTCGATGGAGGAAGAAATATCATTAGGGAGAGTGAAAAAAGGCATTAAGTGAGCTTTGAACCATAAAAGATTTTTTTCTATTTATACAATTAATTTTTATATGATTACGATAAATTCCTATAAAATGAAATCCTTCATTAAGAGCATTTTAGAAAAACAGAAGCAAATCATGGTGTGAAACTACTTTCTACACGTAAATCTCAATGACAGACAATGAAGGGTTAAAACATGAGTGTAACGTGGCCTGTCTACACGAGTTTTAATGGCAGTTAAAATATTTTGTTAAGTAGTCTGTGATATTTTCCTTACACTTTACAGCCCAAGTGTACTTCAGAGCTGTGTTCCTTCTCCAAGCACGGCTCTCTCACCAACATCATGGAATTTCTAACCTCTTGACGAAATATAATTTGAAAAAAGATCTGGTTTGGGCATCAAATAAGTTAATTTTTACAAAGTTGGATTATGAGATATTTTAATACTTTTACACAAAAGACTCTATGAAAAGCAGCATATTTAGTTGCATTAAGTAATTAGTGGGACTTTTTACTTCATGAAACTGAAAATAATATAGCATTCATCCCAGAAAATCGTAAGTTCTCGGTAGGTTTGTCTCTTCTTCACTCCCCGTCCCTAAATATTTAGTTTCTCTCAATGATGATTTTAATCATTTTCTACTGTTTCTACCTTAGCATTCCCTGTATATGATCCCAAAGTGTCATCACCTAAAATAGGATAACTTAAGGAAAGATTGAACTATCTAGTCATCAAATGGTTTCTCTCAAATTGTGCTTTAGTGTGTGTTTTAAGAGCCATTGGTAACTTTTAACAGAATTCATCATGTTTTTGGTGTGTAGGGTGTGAGCTCC